TGACCTGGATGAATGAGAACCTTCACAGACTTGTGGTCTTGTAGTTTACATGTGGCTTTGCTTCCACTCCTGGGGGCGGAAAAGAACATTAGGGGAGTGAAGGGAAGCTAAGTATGAGAGTCTGTGGTGGTCTATGTTACAGTGAACCTTTTGCCATGCATTATCAAAAGACAGATTCAATTTATGCAGTAGAAGAGTAAAGGTTCCCATAATGATTAGATGTCTATCTAATTTTGACAGATTTGGAAGTTAACAGAGCCATTTATGGGGTAAAACTGAACTAAAAACACACCAATGGAATACCACCCTTAACCTTAAGTTGGATTCAGTGGTTTGAAAACTGTTTCTACAAGAAATGGGTTATTTTTGAGAAGCACTTGTTATGTAAAAATGTTTTCTGTGTATCCATTTTACCTTCGTTAAAATAATTTTATCTCAACCTGTGATTAGAACTTCTACTTTGCTGTACAAGGCAATAGCAGTTCTGTAGCAAGAGTGGGCGCTTTGAATGTCTGTGGTGCAGTTGGCTGTGAAAGAAATGCATTCCATAATAAGTAGTCAGGAGGTTGTCTGCGAAACAAGACCTTTGTGGGATGATGCTTTTTTCATTCTGTTTTGCAAGAGCTTAAAGTAAAACGTATGTTCTGCTGAAGAGGCTGCTTTGTATGTGTGCAGTGAAATCCTCACCCAGAGCTTATTTTTTTTTGTAACATTTGAGACACAGGTGGATTTCCTGGAGAATAACTGTGAGATGTGAATGACACATTTGTACTGTATATTCTTACTCTAATCAGAAGTGTATAATCTGTTCCAGAATAATCGCAGTTTAAAGGAAACCTGTACTGACTGTACTGAGAGTATATGGAAGCTTCAATTGTTGACCTCTCCTTCTGAAAATGCTATATGCCTGAATGTCATACTTATCTAATAGCTTCAGTACTTCCAGCCAAGGGCTTAACTGTAGCAAAAGTGTACAAAGATATAGGGGGCTCTATCATATCTTCTGAGGGCCCGCTCACAGTTAAGCGTTACATTGCAGTGCATTAATGTACACACATGAACCTATCTTATGGCACACATTAACACGAGTTGCGTTAAGTAAGCCTTTTCATTATGTATGGGTTCCCTATGTACCACAACAGATGAATCACGTGCATGACTTTTTTTTTTTTTTTTTTTTAATGCAGCACACCCCATCACATGATATATGATTTGTGGTGCACTGCCATGTTTTGTGTGTTGGGCTCTTCTGTACAATGCATTGGGGTGTCATGAACATACTGTACATAGAGCAGGTGCTTTGCTATGTGTTGAGTTTCTTTACTTGCTGATAAGATTGCCCATTACAATAAAAGACCATTAATGTGGCTCAAAAGTTGGGACAAAGTTGAACTTTGAAAAGTCAAAGAAGAAAAAGTCAAGATCTGTATATAATTTCAGCTGACTATATAGCTGTATCTACTTATTTGGAGATTGGATTCTTGCAAATGAACGGACCAGGTTTGAGACAGGTGTACTTTTATGTCAAACCTAAACTTTTTTGTTTTGAATTGAGTGAGGAAGGATTAAAACCCCTGACATGTTTCTACTGATATCTGGGGCTTCGTTAGAAACATTCCCCTTCGCTTACTGTTATGATGACAACGGTTTTAACAAATAGAAAGGGAAAATGTGCAACAGGGACATTGACAGCAATGAAAAGCTAACAGGGATTTCCCTTACTTTATTAGAAAAACATTTTTTTTTATTTCTGTCTGTGTGCCCACATCCCTTGGGTGAAGCCATTATTAGCAGGACAGTTAGTGAGGGGAAATCCCTCTAATGGAGGGAGTACCATTAAGCAGTGAAACCCAATGGTGGTTCTAATCCTTCCCCACATTATCCAAAACTAAAATAAAATAGTTTGGCTGGACGTACACATTAAAATGGTGGTTGCATCTTAAATTCTGCTATAAAACTCCATATTTTCAAAAGCTACCTAAATAATGGGACCCAAAAAAGTGCTACATCCAGATTCTGCAATCTTCCACATGTGGTACTTTCCAACTGTATGTGGTCTCATTCAATTAAAGGTCTATTTGCCCTATATTTTATTGGTTATTAAGCTTATGGATTTTATATACATGATTCGGAAAATTCTGAATGTGAGTGAGGGGAATTTATCAAAACTGGAGCAGACAAAATCTGGAGCAGATTTGCACTGCAGTCAATCAGCATCACTCTCTCATTTTCAAATCTTACCTGAGCATGCTGATTGGTTGCCGTGGTCAACTGCTCCAGATTCTGTTTGCTCCAGTTTTTATACATTTCTTCCAATGTGTGTGTTGAGGCACATTGGGTTTTGGCAACCCGTTTATTTTGAAAGAGCTCTTAGCGCGCCTCAATGCAAAAAAAATGCACCTCCGCTATTTTTGACAATGCAGCTTTGCACATCTGTGTTTTATGGTGCACTTTAGTGCAGCCTCATTTTTGGTTACTATAAAAGTGTATAAGAATGAATGCCACTGCACCTAAATGTACATATGCTTGTATGTTAATGTGTGTTGTGAAACCGCAATGCACAAGTGTGAATGGGCCCCAGAACTCTCCTATAACTCTTAGAAAACCATCTCGCCAAGTATTATAATAGCATTTGATATATCACCTATAGTCTTTTTTTTCTAATTTGTGATAATAATATATATACTGTAAGTATATTTGGGAGATTATTTCGCTTCTTGTGTCTTTTTTCCTTGTCTATCAATTCTGCTGTCACCCGGCAACCTTTGTGTTACTGAAAGGTTTTGGCTGCTCTCATGTAATCTGATCATCTGAACTTTGCAGTGAGGGGAAAGAACTTACTACACATTTCATGAATATTCAGGAGCAATCAACTGATGAAAACAGGAAGCCTGGCATTTTCAATTCTCAGCACAAATTTCTATAATATTAACAGTGACAAAAATGCATATCATTTGGGAATCATATAGATTATTCAAGCAGTCTGGAAAGGCATACCATCGAAATTACTAGCCAACAGCAAAATTGTTCTTATTATTATTCACTACAGAAAGGAAAAGGGAGATGATGGTCAAGCAGTGGTTTGCATTGCAAAAAAAGCACTATTTAAATAAGTTGTAAACTGTCTCACATTTTGAGACAAAAGAAGTAAAGCATTCTGTGTTTGAGCTGCTTGGATCAACCAATACTTACTGTTGCAACAGCTTCATGATAAAGTCCTCTAATTGGATCAATGTGGTCTCATGTCTGCATCTATTTCCAAGCAATTTTTTATCTAAAGATGTTGCAGCCACAGATATCAAGGGCCACCCATACACAGACCGAACTGTCTTACATGATGGCCAACCTATGAATGGACAGACCTCTGGTCAGACTATAAGCATTCAAATAATTACAAATTCCTAATAAACAGTACACAAGTTAAATCCTTACGGACCTCTGTAGCTTCAGGCACTGTCCTCTATGTTTACAGCAGTAAAACTGACATTTTTCAAGTTGTACTCTCAGCAGCTCAACTCACCCTGCCTTCCTCTTCCAGAAGCGGCTCAGCAGCCTTCCAGGAGCTCTGGTTGGAATGAGGTCGGGGGTCAAGGTGAGCTGTACTGCCTGAAAGAAGACTTAAAGAACTCCATTGCTTCTGCTGTAAATTTTGAGAATAAATTGATCCCCAGTGTTTTCAGCTAAAAAGGTAATTGAGGGCTTGTTTTAGACCCCATTCACACCAGTTCGACAGCGCTTCAGCTCGCTTTACGTGCTTTTTTTAATGCCTAAATGCGCATTTCTGCACGTTTTTTATGTGGGTTGCAGCTCGTTTCACAGGCGTTTTCTGTTCATAAGCAATAGCACTTTAGGCACATTTTGAGCTCCTTTTACAGTTCTCCAATGAAAAGCAGTCTCAGCTGCAAAAATGCGATAAAAAGGCCTTGATCGGCGCATTTCTATTGAAGTCTATGGAGCAAAACAGGCTGATAAGTGCCACAAAAGAAGCTCAGGGACTATTTAAAACACCAGGCATATTTTATTGCGCAATTTATTGCGCAATTGGTGTGAATGGGACCTTAAGGTTCAGTTGGTACTCGTTAAAAATATATAAATACTTTATTGTCATAGCCTGGCGACAGGTTCACTTTAACGGCAGTTTTGAGACATTGTCTGCTTTTATTAATAGAGCAAGGTGCTATAAATATTGTATATATTAAGGGCTAAGCGCTGCGCAAACTGTTGGCACTATATAAATACTGTATAATAATAATAATGGGGGCAGTAACCCAGAGTAGCAAAAATCACTTTAGAATTCATACTATTTATTGGACAAGGTTGTTTATACCATTCTAGATATTTTAGTTCCTCTGAACTGGGAGTCTGTCTGATTTGAATGTGTTAAAGTATTTTCTGTTACTTATATGTGGAAATAGAAACTACATAACTATACTATTTATAATATTTGAAAGAAAGTAAAATAAAATGTCATAATGGGTTGCAATTCAAATGAAAACTATCTAAGACACAATATGCCGCCAGGTTTTCTTTTCTAATCCTGGGATAGTGTAATAAAAATGTTTTTTGCTTTTTAGTAGTTAAAAAAAGCTTGAAACCTGAATTTAATAGTAATCATTAAAATCTACCATCATGGACAGACACAGATGAATTCATCTCCAGATCTAACACATTTAGTGAACATTTTACTTTCTAGGAAATCTAAAATTTTAAATTCATCTAAATATTTGTGTATTCAGATATGCACATAATGTATCTAGAGTCATAAATTGCAAAGTTTCCTGTGGCCTGGACACATTTTGGCATATTTAGATGCATTTAAACTTGAATTCTTGAATCATTTTACCCATTATCTTTACTCATAATTTAGGAAAAAGCAAGTGAATTCAATATCTTTCATAGATTAGGTTTTAAGGAAAGAAATTTAGATTTTTAGCAAAAATTTGTAGAGCAGGGGAAATTACAAATCTTGGTCAATGTATTTATTCTATTTTTCTTAACAGAATACAGCACAATCCATAGTCCATCAACGCCTATTAAAGATTCAGAATCTGATCGATTGCGGCGTGGGTCAGATGGAAAATCACGGGGAAGAGGAAGAAGAAACAATAACCCCTCCCCACCTCCAGACTCTGACCTTGAGGTATGTCATGCAGTAACCCGATTCCAATACAAATAAGTATTTTCCCAAAAGAGTTAACAGAATGCCATTCACATTAGACTTTCTATGGAGAGATTCAATTCTTAGTATTTTATAAAAGCTGTTTGCGTTCTTTGCATTAACTGAAAAATTTATTGAAATTGTACTATACTGCAGGATCCTATCTCATGCAATTATATATTATTCAATCTGGTTCCTAAAGTTAAATGTACACATTGTTACCTTAAACAGAAAGTAAATTCTGTAAATAAAAAAAAAATTGTGTATAATAAATATACATATTTTATCATTTGTTTTGTTATTCTTAATATTTTTATGTGTCATTTTAAATTGGCAGAGAGTCTTTATTTGGGACTTGGATGAAACCATCATCGTTTTTCATTCGTTATTGACAGGATCTTATGCAAACAGATATGGAAGGGTGAGTACTAGCAAAATTGATTTCTAACAGATAAAAACTACTGGAAAATGTGCTGTGCATTGTGGGATTTGCTATTTTTCTTTTAGGGTTTATGCATATAGTATTAAAGAAAACCTACAGTAGAAATTGGGGGTAAGGGGGACATCTGTCATTGCTGAGAACTTTCTAATAATGCTAGTTTCCTGGAAGTCAAAAATGCTTTTCTGCATGCCTATTTCAGTTTAGTGCCTCTGAAAGTTTTGAAATGTTTGGATCAGCAAGGCAACAGGTAACAATAATTTTAAGAAGGCTGTATGTAGTCTCCCAGTACACATTTTCTTTAAGATTATTCACTTTTTATTTTTGCTAATCCCCAGGTTGTATATAAAAACAATGAAGTGCTTTAAAACATGCAATACTTACTTTTCATACAACCAGGGTCAGCATTTGGGGGTGTTAAGTGGACAATTGTGGCCCATTCTTAAGGGCTCCCTGAAGCTTGCCCCCTGCCCTCAAAAGCTACACCTCTACAGCAGCCGTATCATATACTCCAACATGATCCACTCCATAGTGTTTCAAATACTCCACTCCTTAACTTCTCAGTGAACTCTAGCAAGATGTCTTTTTTACTTTTTGGAAAATTAAAGGTAGAAAGATGCATGGAATCAGAGAATTCTAGGGGCCTGCAGTATTCCAGTCAAGAGTTCATCAGTATAACTCATGCGCAAGGCCCCAATGTATCCAAAACCTGTCCTGCATAAGACTTTGTATAACTTTTTATGACTACACACAATTTAGTCCATGTTGGAGCTGTCCTTTGCCTTTACCAGTTAGTCCACTAGTGTGCATTTTACTGACATGGTGTTTGCATAAGGGCTCATAATAGAACATTGCAGAGAAAGATAATGGTTTGTTCATGTTGATGTGTGTAAATATATCAATTTGCCTACTGCAATTAGACTCGTTTAAGCATGTCTAACATAAAATGCCAAAGTGCATGTACATCAGCTTGGAGAAGTCTTGACATTTCATGCATAAGTACTCAGCCTTTTATGTTCAATAAGTATACTGTGTTCACCTTGACTGGCATGTCCTATGTCCTTTGTTGTGACATGTTATGTTGTGCTGCCCTCTACTTCAGATTCCATTAGGCTGGCAGTTTCCATATATACATGAGGATCCTAACAATATGATACTCTAGATACTGCAGTTTCTTTGTCCAATGAGTTGGCACAATTCATAGCCAAGACTGGTACAAATCAGAGCTAAAGTATTAGCCCAACATGGTAATTCCTGTCTTTGTAAGGTTATTATTGACCCTATAGTTTCGGTGACTAATTTTTGGAGTAACTAGGCTAAAGGTAGTTTAAAGTTGTAAGAATAAAATTAATAATAAAATTGTTGTTACCTAAAAGAAGAGATCATATGCTCACCTTTACATGCGCTGCCAAGTGCCACTCCCTCCAGTAGAAATGGTCCCACAGACATAACATAAAGTGAGAGGAAATCTCTTCAAAGCAAGGGGAAATCCCCTTTTAGACAGTGGAGGTTTTCCCCAGTGTTCCAGTTCTGGTGACAATTGTAAAATATTTCATCACCTACTGCGTGGCTGGTATAGGACCTGAAAAACAATCACTACTGAGTATGCAAGCTTGGTGGAGGCTTTATGGATATTATTAAAAATATTAACCAATCATAAGGATGCAGAAAAAAATATCAATAGCAGGTTTGTGCACATTAGTTTAGTTATGTGGACACAAAATGCATTTTTCATTGACTGTCTGGTTTTTTTTTTAAAGACTTTGAAGTTTCCCACCTTTATCCTTGCTTGGGAGTAATGAATGCTTTGATGAACTATATGTGTGTTCTTTAGTACTTAAAATCTAAAGTCTTTTACATTGAAAAGTCTTTTACTGGACATGATTAGGTTGTTACAGTTGTGAGTTAATAACCTAAATCTTTATAAATTAAGAGGCACTTAAAGTAGTGCTAAGTCTTAATGCATTCTCTGCATTAAGGTAAAAAAACACCCAGCACCTTTTCATATCACCCTGACCCCAAATACTTACCTCCAGACACTTGGGGGTCTATCCACTAAGCTGGATCGGCTAAGCCGAACCTCCGGCAGGCTACTCGCTGCTGTTCGGTCTATTCTTATAGATGCCGAACAGCAGTGCATTCGGCTCGGCTGTTCTAATGGGTCCCTCTGTGGGACCGAGCAGAACAGAAAAATAGTTAAAAAAGTAGAAAAATAAAAATAGAAAACGATTGTGCGGAGCTAGCAGTGACAGCTAGCTCCGCCCAACAGTTTTCTATTGGCCGGCGGTTCTGCTGCCGTAAAAAAAAAAAGATTTGGCCATAGGAATGCATTGCTAGATTCCTATTGGCTATTTCAATTTGCAATAGCCAATAGCAAACTAGCTATTGTACCCGCCCTCTGCTGCTGTCAATCACTAGTGGGGACCTGATGTAGAACTGCAGCAGAGGGCGGGTACAATAGCTAGTTTGCTATTGGCTATTGCATTCCTATGGTGAAATTTTTTTTTTTCTATTCTGACACGGGTCCGTGTCAGAATAAAAAAAAAGAAAAAGCAGTGTTTCTCTCCTTGGCAGCCGGGAGCAGGAGACTCCCGGAGCACCCGGGAGAGTTAGGCTGTCTGGAGATCAGTGTCCCTGGTTAGCTGGTAACCAGGGGCGCTGATCTCTCTGCAAGTGGCCGGAGCCAGCCGTAAGATCATGGCTGGCTCCGCCCAGCTGTCAGAAGCAGGCTGTCGGCCAGCTTCGGCTTTCAGCGCGGTTCAGCCAAGGCATATGCCTTCAGCTCGACTGAGCCGCTCGGCCAAGTTCGGGAGCTGTACGGGCTATAGTGAATAGCCCGTACAGCAGCCCTTCAGTTATACTGAACCGAAGGGGCCCTGGGGCCGAAGCTAGCCAAAGGATCGGCTGAAGCTACGGCCAGATCCTTCGGCTGCTTCGTGAATAGACCCCTTGGTTGGGGAAGATATTGCCGTTCCCTGAACTTCCTGGTTGTGGGGGAGGGTACTGACGGCAGAGCGGCCATAGGTTTCTTCTTCCGTCTGTCAGACTGAGTGGTGGAGGGAGCAGGGGCTTGGCTTTCTGCAGGCTGTGTGTGTCTATGGACACACACAGTTAGCCATGATCACAGCCCAGAAGTAAGCATGCATGGGTGTCTCCTCAGCTCCCGGCGAGCTGAAGGAGACACCTGCAACAAGAGGGGAGCGGTTTGGGGAACAATTGGAAGACATTCAAGGAAAGCAATTTAAATAAGAACTGTAAAATACTGAAAGTGTGGTCTTTCTCTTCCTAAAAAGTCAAAAAAACAAAAGTTTAATATCATATACAGTATGTGTGAGAGCATTTTTTTATTTGCTTTTAAGGTTTAATGATTAAACCTTTTTCAGTTTATAGCTTGCATGGAGCACACAACTTACTTATAGATATGTTGTTGTTGTTTTTTACCAGGTACCTTTGTGCTTACAGAGCAAAACTTTGTAGGGATTGTATCTCTATGTATGCATTTCTTCAGCATAGGTTTGGTATCATCATGCACAAAATAATATCATCTAGTTGTTTCCATATATCTTTGACTTTTCAGCTTTAGTTTTCACTATATTGATTCTGGACCACTCTACATTTTTTTTTTCCTTAACACTACACATGGCATGTTGCTATATCGGCTGGGATCTCAATTAATTGGTGTATATACAAAAATGTATACAGATAAGCCCTTTTGTGTTTTCAGAACTTGCTATCTGTGTGCAGTGCATTTTTTTGCAATGGTAACGTCTTGGCATTCAAAGTAGGAAGCAGATCATAACTTTATTTTTGTGCATGAGATTTTCTTCATAGGCATGTATGATTTTTAGAACTTTTACTTTGTTATTAGAATAGTCTGTGATTAATTGCAAAGAATAATAATTGATGGGTAACAAATGGAACAAATGGCTCTGTATAGTGTAAGCTACACAGCAACATGTAATTCTACACAGCTGCAGCACTATGCCATCATTTTGCTTAATCACTACTACTACTTGCCACTTTGCAGATGATACCATAATGAGCCATTTGTTTTATGAGTCATAAATGGATAACTACTCTAGAATTTTAGGAGTACAATTGAACTACCAAAAATACACCTTTGGTCTAAATTTACAGTCTTCAGTGTAGGCTTCTTTAAGTTACAGCTTATTCACAAAATCCACAAAAGTGCCCGGGCCAGAATAGGATATACGATGTGTCCAAAACAAGGCAGATTGTTTTCCTAAGGTTGCATGTGGCGCATGAATGCTTGCAACGCTTCTTTTGTGATGGGTACATAAGGCATCTCATACACATCTATATACATCATAAGTCATCCTTACCCCTGCTAAATACCTTTCTGTATATACAGTACAGTATTATATGTAGTATTATCAATTTCTTCTGGTTCCTCTGGTGGTGTTTTTTTTCCCTTTCTAGAGCTAAAACTTAACCTAGTAAACCAATTTATTTAGAAATATGATATTAGTATTTTTTTTTCTCAGCTGTGGGATGATATTAGTACCTAAACCCCATGATGAACAATAACAAGAAGAACAATTCAAAGGAAAAAAACAGCTGCACTCTGAAGAAAAATAATTTGCTGGTAACTTTATTCATCTTAACCTCAATAAAAACTTACATGCTTAAAAAAAAACTTTATTCATCTTTACAATATGAAAAGAGAATCCCAATCTGACTCGTTTCAGCCATAAAGCTGGAACCCAGTCTTGTGAGTGAAACACGTCAGTAGAGGAGGAGGTAGTCCCAGATGGGGATTCTCTGTTGAAGATGCATAAAGTTATAAGCATCTGAATTATTTTTCCAAGTGCAGCCGGTGTTTTATTTTGGATTTGTGCAGTCTTTGGGGCATAGCACGAGCCCCTGTTGGCATTCAGCACCTGATCTTCCATGAAGGTGACCCAATTTACGGCTTGAAAGCAACATACCCTATACTTTTGCCACAATACTAGAAAGTAATT